TACACGACGAATGCCAAATTGAAATTCGTCTCATGAACGCTGCTGAATTTTTGAATGGATCTCCATGCTCACTTTATTTTCTGTTCTTCTTTATAGTGAAAATCGAGCTCTTTTCAAGGATCGTCTCTCGGTCGAGCCTGAACTTTTGTAGTTTTTGTTTAATACTGTTTAACACTCATAACCGTGGCGGCTCGTGTTGTTGAGGTGCACCACAAGTGATTGGTGAATGACAGACAATATTGCGCCATAGATTGTCCTACTCTAGATCAAACTGCTCTGGAGACTCATAGGAAAATGTGAAACCCTAGAAACATAAGCTACTTTTGATTTTTCAGTCGAATTTATTCTGGGACTGACTGGATCACTGATTGGTTCGATGGTGAGCATAATTATACCATCACTTCTTTACCTAGCTGTGGTGAAGAACAGAGAGCATTACAGTGTGTCTTATGCCAAGGTAACAGTATCAATTACCATATAATTGATCATTGCTCTCAGATTTGCTCTTCAACAGATATGCTTGGTAGCTGGCTTCTTCATATTGTTAGCAAGCACATGGGCTACTCTACAAGTTGAACAAACATCGCATGTTGTTGAAAAAGTAAGTTTCCTGATGATTTCCATTGTTTAGACTAATTTTAAGTGAATGTGAGGATGGCAGTGAGGTAGAACTCGTACGGCTTCTGAACTCCGCGAAAAGTAGGTTAAGATCTCCAGTTTCGAAGTGATATTTCAAAATTCAAAACCTCACTGGTTTTTGTTTTTCTTTTAATGCTTTGTTAAAAGGATTACGAACCCTCGATGAACCAGTCCTCTAGCCGAGATGTTTATTTTCGATCATTGTTAGTAGGGCCCCCATCTAAATTTGATTAAAACTCCTACATTCACCTGAATCATCGGTTTTCCTTCCAATTGTAGTTTGGCGATAGTGATCGCTCGCTTATAAACAGCACTCAAGAAAAGCAGAGTGTTGTGCTTTTATTTATTATTTATACGGAATACGGTACTGTGGCCTGCGATTACACGCACCAACAATCAGTGGCCCTCGCTATTGAATGTATGTTTACTACATATTTAGCCAATGCCTAAAGATACTGGGATCGACAAGCCGGCATTAAAATCGCTGCAGAAACTCGAAGAGAAGGTGTTGAATACAAATTTGAATATTTCTGCGGTAAGTAGTTTCGCATACGAATTCTTTTGCTTTGGTACTTGCTAAGCCATCGCATTTTTCAGAAACTTGATAATATTGCCGACCTGGCTGCAAAAGGAAAGGACAAAGAAGCAGCTCACTTGCTGGTGGAAATGAAGAAAGAAAGAAAGGAGCAAGAAGCTTTGCTAAAGAAACAGGAAGAGATTGTACAGGAGTTGCACAAGCATGTTGAAGAGCAGGTAAAAGGTAGGTGTGAAGGTGGCTCAGGGAACAATCGTGAGGAGTAGTTTCGCATGTTGGGGTAGGTTAGTGTTGTAGCGTAAACGTCTGGGAGAAATCCCATCGATCCAAACACTGAGAACGACGTTGTAAGGCGACCAGCTGCATTCTAGGAAGATAACGAGAAATAGTGAAAGGGGTTATGACCTGGTCAGAGGGTGCTTAGTGATGGAAGACAAGCTAGCGGCGTAGGAAACAAAATGTTCCTTTTGACCCTTCAACTTTTTTCTTTTTTTCTCAAGGGCCTTCACAGATTTGCCATTGTCAATCATTTCAGCGAAAGAGTCTGGAGAGAAAGAAGTGTCGAAGGCGAAGCCACGGCAAGTTGACCAGAAGCCGAAAGAGTCAGTGAAATCGGTAGAACTAGAGAAGAAAGCAGAACCCGTCAGTGCTATCCTGAACATTACCCAGAAGGTCGAAGCTATTGTACAGGAGAAGGAAGTCACCTCGGAATCAATTGTTGGACAAGGGAACGTGAATGGCTCTCTTGATGCGGGAATTGGAACCAAAAAAGTCGTTGAACATCGGGAAGCTTAAGAAGGATTGTAGTGACTGCAATCATGGATTTTTCTGGGTACACTCTAAAAGGCAGAAAATAATACTGACCACAAAATTGAAGCAGAAGTTAACTTATTTTTGCCGAGTGGCAAGGTGTTTTGACCGTCTGGGACGCGTGCGGTCGCGATGCGTTCGAATTCATTCCATCGGTCAGACATCTGCTACATGCTCCTCAAAAGCATCATTTTAGAAATCACGCAAAGGCACCTAATTTTTGGAACTCGTCACAAACTTGTGCTTTTTGGGCCTTACACTTTGAAAGGCCTAGTAATGAAACAATAATAATTTCCGTATGGAGCGATAATCGAACAATCCGCAACCCACGCTAACTCTCTTTTTCTCAAGGCGCACTTAATTTGGCAGTCTTAATGGCTTAATCAGAAGTACTCTTTCACTACAGGTTATCAGCATCAGTAGTTAGTACAAATGTACGACAACAATTGAACTGTTTTGCCCAGTTCACATTATTCACTTGTGTCGTGATGCTTTTTTATTTTTATTGTTATGGGTGAATTGGATAAAGGATAAAGTGTTTCGACCAATCAAGCCTTCCGTTCCTCCTGAGTGGGTTAAGTTGTACCGGACTCGTCTGGGGGAAGAAGCACTGCTTTCACATGGGCCGGCCTCCGCAAGTCATTGTGTAGGCCACATACGCTTCAATACTCCACTACGATTCTGAACGGATGTCGAATGCAGGGCACATCCCTCAGACGAGGTCGGTCAATGCCCAAAGACTTGATCCTTTATCTTTTGTCCTTTATGGGTTGAGTGTTGGTGTATTTATCACTATAAGCTTCTGTGAAACTTCGTTGAGCTGATTTTTTTTTATTTTACATTCAATCCCTTGCACGGGTTTTTTGTTTGAATGTGATTTTGTCCTTGAAAGTATCTGCAAAGCGTTGGAAATGTATGTGTATGGCCAAGTGGTAAGAGGTTAGAATGGCCTGAAGTCATGTGCGATGATTCCTAGTTAGTCCCGTCGAAGCTCCCATGGATCAGTCACGTTTTAAGGAACAGTAGTAAAAAGTCATTTTTTAACATTACAAAAAAGTGTAATATTTGACGAAAGTTCTCGAGTTTGATGGTTGTTTTACGGTGAAATAAATGAATAAAGTGTTGAATGTTGGCTTCCTTCAGTTATGACAGATCTGTTCAAGGCGCTTACAGTACGATTTTTAGAGTTAAACAAATATGTAAAGCAATAAGTTTTTTAAAAGTTTGTTACAGTTTATGCGCCGCGTCATATTTGCTTGGCGGATGGCGGGGTTTTCAGACACGTTCTCACGGTTGCACGCACGCGAGCGGCATGATTTCGCGGCGGTTACCGTAATCATGCACTGAAAATTCAGATCTTATGCTTACACTGCGCGCTCAGACGTGCGGCGGATGCGGCCAGCACTGCACGACATTCCTGAACAAGGTCCTTCATCCCTACTCGACTACTGATCATGGTAAGCCTGTTATAAAATGAGCCATTCAATTACGGTTGTACTGGTATTGCTATTTATGCGGTGTTAAAGGGTTGATTACGGTATTACACGAGATAATGTGCTCCGATGTCCAGGCTTGCAACAAAGTCTGTGAAAGGTTTGAAGGATTAATAGAAGCCCACTAAAAGGGTTCGTTGCACTAAAGCCTACTGTAGTAGGCTCCGTCTCTAAGGTGGATAGAGTAAAACGCGTTTGCGAGAAGTGCCATTCAAGGTCGCTGAGCTAAAACTGAGAGACTAGAGATGATCCGTGATTGAATGGGAGCCGTTAGAATTTCCATTCGGGCATGTCGTGGCTTGCTCACGTGCCCCGACGTCCAAGTAGTTCTCAGGATCAAAAGTTCGTTTTCGACCTCCCATTTCGCCATGCCATATCAGGGAGCACAGCAGCATGAACTCGATAGTACTGCACATCTCTTGTAACTGTTTCGATGATCGATAGTACTCATGCTACTGCTTTCATTCTACCTTCTGAAGGTGTTCAGCCGTAATCGCCACGTGTGTAACCCGTACGTAATGTCAAACACCTCTTTCACTGAAGCACTTATAGCCACTGATCTACCTGGGGAAGTAAGAACTAGATTAATAAGAGTTGTAGGCGAAATACGTATACCCGTACTTTAAATTGAAGTCCGCAATTTCGCGCAATATGCGACGTATGGACTCGGCGCGAAAATTCTAATGATTTGAAAAATTTACCGCGTTACGTTGCACTTTGCCTTCTCTGTCCTTTGTATTAGTGTCGTATCTCTTTTTCGTGCTTTTGTAATCAAATGGAGTTCCTATTCACCCAAAACACTTTTCCTAAGTTAATGGCATTTGAGTTTACCATTTTAATAAGCTGCTAACTTCTTTCTGACATACTCTTGTGAAAAAACGCCCCACGCGATCATTCTGAAGAAGCATAGAAACCTAAAGATGATTTTGAAATCATCGCCGGCCAGAGTGTGGACTTTGTACGAGTGGATAATGTCTCACAGAGGCTCCTTCGAAGTTTCGATGACAGTTTGTTCAGTAAGTAATGCTGAGAGGATATTCAGAGCTCGCGATTCCTGCGATTCTTTGCTTGTAGCTTGCCAGAACTTTTTAGCAGCCCAGCCTCTTCAAAGGCCGATAGGCTGCTTGCAATACAAAAGGCAGAATATGATTGCGCTTAAATTTCGTTTTGCTTTAGCTTTTTGATGTGCTCTACCTTGAAACCCGCACCTCTTGCTGATCTCGAGCTGTAGCTTTGGATGATACTAGAACTATGCATTAAATTAAGTGGTTATACAAAACAGGGTGTTTCGAACATTGGTTCCAATAAATTTCAAGCTTGTTAGGGGATATCCATTGACTGGATACGTTGTGACTTCAATCTTCATCTGATTCGCTATTTCGATTTTCGGTCTTCCAGGGGTTCGATTCTCCTCACGGATTCAACGAGCTTGATGATGAAGGACATCAATCCCTTGGAGAAAGAATGGAAGAAGAAAGGTGAAGCTATGAAGTGGTATTTCTCCTTGATCACACGTATGAAATGGCTGTGAACAGGTCTATCCCTTCGGGAATATCAGCAAGAAGGTGTAAGCATCATGGAATCCTGGTATCGTGCTGGTCATGGCGGCATCAACGGCGATGAAATGGGCTTGGGAAAAACTTGTCAGGTATACTAAAGAACTCTTTTTTTTCTAGATTTTCTACCAGAAGAGCATCGCCCAGATCAAACTTCTGCTAGGTTACGCATATTATTTCAGCTTCAGCTCGCCCATCGTTTAGATTGCACCCAATACTAAGGTTACTGTTATATCACATTTGCGCAGATTAGTCATGTATGGATAGACGCTCAGCTGAATCAAGTAAAAAAATGGTTTCCTAACGAGTGAATTAAGCGGACGTCGTTCATATACAAGGCGCAATTAATAATTTCTTTCCTTTGTTTTCGTTGCTGTGGAGCTTCTGCTATCATAATCTTTTTTCTTAAGCTCTTACGCACTTTGAGCGCTATAAGATTAAATTGGCAACATGTGTTCAAAATATTGCATAGCAGTAAGAATATTTTGGAACCTCTGCCGACTATATTGACTTGTGACCGCTGTCCTAGTGAATACCTCTTTCCTTTGTGCTGTTCAACACCGGTTTCCTTCGAATCTCAAAGAATTAGTTTCCACACTGCTGCCATCCCAAAGTTGTTTTCTAACTAGAAACCTGCACCCGGTAACCAGTATTTTCGCTCGAACTGTTGGAGTTAAAGGGTTTGACTTGATAGCTCTTTTTCCATTGCTTTTTTAAATATCCAACCAAGTCTAGGGGCGAATTCATCAATGCAAGAAGCGGTTGGGCTTGGCGGAAGCGTACTCCTTACGACCTCACTCAACGAATAATATTGAGCCCTGCTGAGGTTACTCTATGCGCTCCGTCTCAATATAAGCGTTACCCGTAGGAAGATAGCAAAATATACAGCGTAGAGGCATCTGTAGATAGTTCTCTCACAAGATTGACTAGATTTTGAAACTTTGAGGCATAAAAAATCTTTTAGGCCATTGTTCTAATGCTCTGTCTAAGGAAACAAGGTAAAGGTCCTTTTCTCGTAGTGTCTCCGCTGTCTGTGTGCGATCACTGGATCTCGGAAGTTACTAGGTAAGTTATTTAATGACCCTTTTACCGTTTGCCCCCTCATTCCACTGCGTTTGCTTTAGGTTCTCATGTGGAACGTTGAATCCTATTGGTTACTACGGGGTTGAAAAAGAAAGGAAAGCTCTGCTCAAGGAAATCAAGAAACTTCAGCGAAACTCCGTGTTTATTGTGCCCTATCATGTGAATTGTGTCTTTTTCCATTTCGGTTATAGTATTACCATAAATGAAAGGTTTTTATTCAGGTTTTTCGTGATGATTCGGAAATAATCGCCAAGCTTGAAAAGAAGTCAAAACTTACTTTCGATGTTGTGATCGTCGATGAAGCACAAGCTATTAAAAACTCAGAAACTCAGCTTGCCAACAAATTGAAGCCAGTAAGTCTGAATTGCAATGCGAGTTCCTTGAGAAGTTTCGTGCTTTCAAATCATTTTGGGGTCGTTTCAATTTGCGCCCCGATTCTCTCGATTTTTACGGAAATTGGAAGACCTTTTAGAGCATTAGGTTTACCATGCACACTTTTCTAGCACCGCTTCGGCTCGCAAAATTGATTGCCATCAATCAGTGTTAAGATTTTTCAGAAAAAGAGTATGAGAAAAACAGGTTCTTTATAAATTGGTTGAAAAGAGATGTGGTTAGCATGTCATTTGTCGCCACAGCGTTAGTGGCTGTGCTACTTATTGGCACTCTTACTTTTCGCTGATTATAAGTTTCACAGTTGAGCAAAGTTTACTGCTCTCACTTTTCAGTACCGAGGTTACGCTTGGTTTCTGCTCATGACTGGAACCCCATTACAAAATCACTTGGGCGAACTATACTCTTTGCTCACTTTCGTAGATCCTGTGAGTCTTTGTTTTCTTGTTTTTGTCTTCAGACTTTTTTTATGCTTTTCATTTTAGAAACGTTTTAAAGACAGAATTTCTGCCAAGGAAGATTTTATGGAATTGTATAAAAAAGACGAGAAATTGTCCGAGTTAAGAAAAATCCTCTCTCGATATATGATTCGGCGTACAAAAGATGTCGTGTGCAAGGAGCTGCCATCATGTGAACAAGTAAGTAACAAGGCTCAGCTACGTGTGGTATTATCACGGATGAACGAGGCTCCGTAATTGATAGTGAAATGCATATTGGAATGAGAGGTTTTTCTGGGATATAAGGATGAGTTATATTGAAAGCCTAGATGTTAAGACCAATATTTCTTGTCTATCAGCGCTAACTAAACGCACAGATGTAACGGAGGGTTACGAAAGCTTTGCGGTCATTTTTATGACGGACTCATTGGAAGCAGATTTCTAGGAAAAGTTGGCAAGTAATTCTGAGGACTGATTTAGCACTAATATGCGGTTGTAGAACTAGGTTCTCTGCGTGTTTCAACTTCATGCACTAGCCTTTTTAGGTGATCATTTACCACAACATGACCGAACTGCAGAAAAAAATCTATTTGGACCTAATATCCGAGCATTATAGTAAGTTTGAATCGTTTTCCGATTTCATTTTCAAATCCTCATTTTTTTTCAACGAATTGATGCATTTCTCGGTCAGCAATCCTTCTCTACTTCCAAATAACGCCAAGAACCGATCCCCTTGGGAACAAATGCTTGGTGACAGGTGCTAATCTCATTACAACTTTCTAGCTGCTCAGCCAATTCGACCTAAGGATTGTGGGAATTTCTTATCTGTACTCAAAGACCCAGTGGCTCGCGAGGATATAACTTCGGAACATCTAAATTGCCAGCAGTCA